AGGAGATGTCCCGGCCCAGGGCAGGGGGTTGGGACTGGATGATCTGTAAGGTCCATTCCAACCCCTAAAATTCTATGATTTGGAGGTTCCTGCAGCCACCCCCGTGGTGTTGGTCCAGCTCTGTGGCCAGACCAGAGGCAACACTGGACCCCACAGCTCCCACAGACCCAGGAATCTCAAAAGCACCAAGGGAGCAGTTTCCTGGGGATAAGACCCAAACGCCTCCCACTGGTACTGGCTCCAGGTACTGCCCAAGGAGCCCCCCACAGCACTCAAAGCCTCTTTTCCCACCTCCTTCCTCTTTTCCAGCCTTTCCAAGCTGCTTGGCTGGAGCACCTTCCTCCCTCCATCTGTCTCATTACTGAGCCAAGTCCAGGGCTGCGCCTAGTTCCATCCAATACTCTGTCAGTGCTTCCCTGCTCCTGACCTTGGGGCTGTTGCCACACCCATCACTCCATGCACCTGCCCCAGGTGCACCCAGTTCCAAGAAATTCCATGTACTTCCCCTCACAGTCACCCCAGACCTCCCAGAGCTGCAGCATTCCTGGTTCTGCTCACAGGGCAGCTTTAACCACGAGGTCCTGGCACAGGAGGTTTTAATGACAGTGATGAGCTTATCTGGTCTTTAGTGCTCAGCAGCCCCATGCTGGGAGCCCAGAGGAGCACTGAATACACTCACCCCACATCTGAGCCACACCAAACTGATGGAGGAAGTGGGTTTAGCACAAGGGCAAAACAGGGCAGCCCCAGCTGCTTTGCTCAGTTCCCTCCACATTCTCCTGCCACCTTCTCTCTCTTTTTTCCCTTCCATCATCCTCTTTCCATGGCACATGCAACACCTGAGCCACTGAGGCAGAGCAGAGCTACCCCAAGCAGGACAGTGGGGCAAGCAAAAGCAAAACTCCCACTTGCTTTCCATCAACTCATCCTCCACTTTATATCCAAGCACACGACTTCCAGCCTGCACCAATCCTGCCCTTTGACACTCCAGCACCATCAGGGGTCTCCCTGAGGAGCAGAGCCAGCTGTGCCTTTTTCCAGGGGATGCAGCCACCCACCCAGAGATCCCATAGACACCTTACCTCTCCTGGAGTGGCTCAGACCTGGAGTTCTTTCATCCTTCCACTTCCCAGCACTTCCTCCCTCTGTTCTCAGGCAGAGCAGAACCAAAAGGGCTCTGAGGGGGAGTAGGGGCTTTTATAGCAAATTTGCCAGCCCCCTCCCTCCAGGTGGGCAGGCTGATCAGTGGAGCCAGCCCAGGTGTTGCCCATCTCCTCAGTCCCATCACCGGGGAGCAGCTCAGGCTATGCTGGTAACAGATCCCCATGGAACTCACTAACTGCTCACATGGGACAAAATGTGACATTCCTGGCTGAAACTCAGGTGGAACTCCTGAGAAATGATTCCTTTAAAAATGAAAGAGTAAAGAAGGAAACTTGCCCATCTCCTGACTGCTCAAAGTGCTCCTCAGCCCTGCCCTGGCACTGCCCACGTGTCTGTGTACCACAGGGAGCTGTGGGTTTGCCCATGGGGTTCTCAGCACATCACTTTTCCCAAAGGCTGGAAACAGGTTGAGCCCCTGAGTGGGGCAGTTCCACAGGCAAGTGACTTCTCTGGGCTCACCTCCTCTGTATTTTTAGCCCCTCCATCAGTCTTCATGGAGTTAATTGGTGCACAAGTACAGGACAGACAGTGTCACCCCAATGTGCCTTTGCAGGGACCATGATCCCCAGGGAGCTGCCAGGTCTGACAGCTCGTGGTGCCCTCAGAGCTCATTGCCTGTTCTCAGGGTGTTTCCAAGGATGTAGAATGGGTGCCAGCAGCATGGAGCCTGTGCTCTGGAGGACACTTGAGCAGGGACATGTGGTGCCCAGAGCAGCCACAGTCCCTCATGCACATCCACACATGGGACAAGCACCTGGGACATTGTTAGTGCAGAATCAGCCCTTTTAACCAGAGCTGGGCAACGTCCTCAGGCAGCATGGCCAAAGGTGATGTTCTTTATTGGTGTCTTGTGCTCCTCAGATACTGAGTATCAAAATGTGCCTTGAGACACTCCTGATATCAAATATTCCTCGGAGATTAGTGCAGTGCTTCCTTCGCCTCTTCGCTCCCAGCGGAGCCGATGAACACGATACGTTATCAGGACCTTCCTTGCGCTGTAAGCAGTGGCACAGGGACTCGGTGATCCACCTCGGAACACACACTGAATATTTAGGACTTTCCCTGAGCTTGGCAAGAGATAACATCTTTATCATGGGAGCCCTTTAAACCCTCAGTGCTTCCAGGAGCCTCTGTCCTTGATGAAGGACAATATCGGACCCAGGGCAGCAAATGCTGATAAATAGTTCCTTGCGTAAACAGCAGAACTGGGCTGGCAGAGAAGGGTGCTGAGCTGGCAGAGAGTGGTTCTGGGCTGGGAGAGAGGAGTGCTGGGCTGCCATCAGTCCAACATCCACTCCATGCTCTCCATTAGCAGGAGGCGTTGGCTCAGAGCTCAGGGCAGGATCCATCCCAGCGTTTCCACTGTCTGCAAACAGAATGCCCAAGGCTGTGCTCTTGTCTGGTGTCGGCCATGAGGTCCTTGGTGGACCTCTCATAGTGTCCTTGCAATGATTATCCCATGTCACAGCTGAGTAACACACATACGTAGGGGAAGAGATGCTGGTGCACCCTGAGGAATCAATCCAGACAGGAGTACTCAGGATGCTCAGGGCTACAAAGAGACTGTCATGGGCCAGGAAGGATGAATCCATGTGACTGAGACTCAGCTTCTCAGCTCAGACTTGGGGAGAAACATCAAGGAATGGCCCCAGGCAGCGCTGTTTGGTGAAGGAGATGGTGGGCAATTAGGAAGCAAAGTACCAAAGAAAAAATCTGGAACCTGATCAGAAGGAGATCAGCAAAGACACAAAGGTTGTGAGTTCAGAGCCTGGGGAACAAGGCAACCTCTGTTGCATAACTACGAAAACCTCAAACTCAGTCGAATTCAGTCAACTCAGAGAAATGAGTTGTCAGCAATGATTAAACTCCAGAGACGTCATAAACTAGCATATATTGATAAAATGGGATGCAGATATGGTGAAGCTCAGCAGTGTGTGAGCACATGAGGGTCACCCGTGGTGAGCAGCAGAGCCCAGGCAGTAGGAATCAGGCTGATGGGACACGGGGGCTTCAGAGCAGCCTCACCCTCAAGAGCATGGCCAAGATCCAGGGAAGGGCCTTCATCCCTGGTATGCAGCTCCATAAAGCCACACTGGAGGACCTTGAGTAAATCCAAGCACCTTCCTGAGCCTCTGAGCCCCTTCTTGAGGTGAACCCTGAGGGGTGAGTTGCCTTCTGAGGCCAAACTGCTGACCACAGAGCAGGGCACTGAGAGGCAGGAGTGGGGAGAGGACACCACGATGGGCTGAGAGGGACAGCAGTGAGGGCACAGGTTCCCAACCTCCTGCCACAGCAGCAATCCTTCCCGTTCACACACACTGAAACAGCACCTGCTGCGCTGATGGAGGAGGCAGATTTGGTGTTTGACCCAGCAAGAAATTTAAGCTAATCCACTGCAGTGAGACGCAACCAGAGCCACTTGTGCTGATACCAAGTGCTGGCTGAAGCCACACACTTGATCAACAACTGCAAGATTAGATAAGGACTGAACTTAGTCCTGTCCTGCATGTATTAATGCGAGCTCCCCAGACATCTGGGTTATTCTGGTTCAAGGGCATAAAGATGTTCCCATCTCTGGGGCTCCTATTTGCTGCCCTCTCCTTAGCAAGATGCATCCCCCTGCAGCAGGAGTCCGGCCGCACCAAACTGCTCCTGGTGTCCTTTGATGGCTTTCGCTGGAACTACGACCAGGACGTGGACACCCCCAACCTCGATGCCATGGCTGCAGAAGGGGTGAAGGCCAAATATATGACTCCTGCCTTTGTCACCCTCACCAGCCCATGCCACTTCACACTGCTGACCGGTGAGTGCTTCGGCCCTGGGCCACCAGAACCACATGGGGACTGGGGAAAGGCAAAGTCAAGGCTTATGAGTTGGTGAAGGACACAACGACAGCCCCAGCAGCACACAGAGCTTTAGAGCAAAGACAAGGCAAGAGCTGCAGAAATAGTAGCTTTACCTTAGATATTGGGAAGAAATTCTTCCCTATGAGGGTGGTGAGGCACTGGCACAGGTTGCCCAGAGAAGCTGTGGCTGCTCCATCCCTGGAAGTGTTCCAGACCAGACTGGACAGGGCTTAGAGCAACCTGGTCTAGTGGAAGGTGTCCCTGACCCATGGCAAGGGGTGGGATGAGATGGCTCTTAATGTCCCTTCCAACCCAAACCACTCTGGGATTCCATGAACTGAATCTGTATTTATGCAAGGTATATAGTGCCAGACCAACCTGATAGACTCCTTTGATAAGATAAATTATTTTTTAAACAAGAAAGATGGTCTAAATTTAATCTTTCTGGACTTCAGTAATGCACTTGATATGATGCCACACAGGAAATCAAGAGTTAAGATTAAGTAGATGAAGATTAGTACAAAATCTGCAACGTGGGTAAGTGGGGGGCTACGGGAAGAGGACAGAGGGGATGCTGAGAGGAGATTGTCAGGCTGGAGGGAGGGCACCAGAGGAATTCCTGAGGAATCGATTTTGGAGCCGGTCTTATTTAAGATTTTAATTAATAACCTTGGCATAAAAGAGCAGAGCATGCTAATGAAATCTGCTGATGGGCAAAGGCAGGGAGGCAGCATCAATATGAGGGAGGACAGTGATATCACACAGAAGGGACTGCACAGTCCTCAGACCAGAATAATAAAAACAGCAGAAAAAGTAAGAGTCAAAGTGCAAGACTCTCCCTTCTAATAGCAATTTCTGCTCACTGACCTTATGGGTTGTGAGCAACAGTGAAAGTGAAGCAAAAACAGATTAGGTAAATGTGGGCTAACAGGATCCTGCCTGTGCCAAGAGGGCAGGAGTGATTGCAGGCGGCACCAGTGCCTGGCTTGGTCCACGTGAGACCAAATGGACATCCCTCCAGCACCTCCTTCTTATGCCAGGACACTACTTTGTCCAAAGCAGGGGGAGGAAGGGGCAAAGGGAGAGCTGAGGGGGCAAAGGGAGAGCTGGGAGGGCAAGGGAAGGCTGCAGGTCCCTGCAGACCCAAGCCAATCCATCGCTCAGCGCAGGGGCAAGACCCCCGCAGTGCAGCCTGGCTCACCTCCCCTCTTTGTCTCTCCCACAGGGCGATACCTGGAGAACCACGGGGTGATCCACAACATGTGGTTCAACACCACCTCAGGTGTGAAGCTGCCCTACTACACCACACAAGGCATAAACAGCTGGTGGGACAACGGCAGCCTGCCCATCTGGATCACTGCCCAGAGACAGGCAAGTGTGACACCTCCTCACACACACAGACCTTGCACAGACCCCAAACAGACCTCTCACAGACCCCTCACAGACCCAGCCCACCTGCCATCCTGCAGAAAAAGCTACAGACAAGCCATGATCCCTAGCAGCTGTGAGCTCCCAGCCTTCCTGCAAACACCAGGCTAATTAGACCAGCAAAAATCTGAGATCCCTAGACAGTGGCAGGAATAATTATGATCATTCTATTAAAAATAGCAAAAAATAATAGATGCATTTCAGCTTTATTAAGACATTAATAAAACAAGTTATCCTGTTCCTGTTTAAAGAAGCTTCAGCCAGTTCCTCAGGGAGAATCCTGAGCCTGGGGGTTCAGAACACCCCAAGCACATCCAGACTGGCAGTATTGGGGGTTGGTCTGCTCTTCCCTGGTGACTGCAGCAAACCCAGGAGGCTTTGAGTCTGATTTTGAGACAGGACCTGAGACCTGTCCCAAGACCTATGCCTGTATTTACCTGCCAAATTGGCTCCTCTGACTTCAATAAAACACACTTTAAAGTCTTTGTGGTCAAGAGCCAGCAGATCCATGCAAGGTGCAAATGGGTCACTGGTTCCAAAGTTCTGACTGGTGTTACTAATGTGGTGAGAAAACCAGTGTGCAAGGGTAGTGCTTTCAATTAATCACTTGTAATTGGCAATGAGCAAGAAAACCTCATTAGAGGCAGAGATAGACATTAGGGGCTGAATGAACTAATGGTGTTAGGAGGTGGCTGCACTGACAGATGGAGGGATGCTGCTAAGTGAGTGCAGGTGAGTTTATGGAATCTCTCTACTCACAGGGTTTAAAGACAGGTTCTGTCTACTTCCCTGGAGCAAGAGTAAAATACCAAGGGGAGGAAGTGAACAAGAAATTGGTGGAGCCTGCGATATTCGACTACGGTAACGAAATCAATTGGAAGGAGAACATCGACACCGTCATGCAATGGTTCACAGTGGACAACCTTGACTTTATTGCACTCTACTTTGGAGAGCCAGACTCCACAGGACACAAGTTCGGCCCTGATTCCGTGCAGAGGAAAAACATAATCAAGCAGGTAGACAGAACTGTCGGTTACTTGAGGCAGCGTATCCAGGAAAGTGGGCTGGAATCAAACCTCAACCTCATCATCACATCTGACCACGGCATGGAGACTGTCATAAAGACCAATGAGATTCTCCTTCGGACCATAAATAACTTCACATTCAAAGACATCGACTTTGAACTCTTAGATTATGGACCAAATGGACTCCTGGTGCCAAAGGATGGGAAATTAGAGCATGTATACTCAGTCCTGAAAAATGCCCACCCAAGACTGCATGTGTACAAAAAAGAAGACTTTCCAAAGAGATTCCACTACGCCAACCACTCCCGGATCACCCCACTCGTGTTGTACAGCGATCCAGGATACGTGATCCATGGGGTAAGGTGTATGCACAGGCATATCCTACTGTCCTTTGGGATGTGCCTCACTCCTCCTGCCCCTCCCACAACAGAGGGAACCCAGAACCTCCCCAGCTTTAGGCCTTCCTGCCAATCGGTCTCCCTACAAACAGATGGAAATTCCAGCTCTTTGGGTAAAGACCTTCTCTGCAGTTGAGAAGACAAAAGGTCCAGAAGCCTTGGGGTAGGACATGCAGTAAGACAGAATATCCATTGCAGAGTTCACTCCTAGCCTGGCATGGAGGCAAGGCCCAATGTCAAGGCCAGCAGGCAGCTTCCCAGTGGAAGCTCCTTAGTACAACAAAATTTGGAGGCACTGACAATTAGGGAGAGAACTTGCAGGATGTAATTGCTTGAGAGCTGTGTCTGGGGGCACCTACAGCTTCTGCAGAGTTTAACACTAACACATCAACTTCCACACCTGAAAGGAACCAACCAGCCCATCAAACCCTGTGGGAGAGGTGGGGGCACCCAGCAGTGCTGCTGTCCCCCAGGGCCATACAGGGGGCTGAGGGATTGGGATGCTCACATCCTCATTCTCCTCTCCAGAGGATCAAGGTCCAGTTCAATAAAGGGGAACACGGTTTCGACAACGAGGCCCCGAACATGAGAACCATCTTCCGCGCTGTGGGACCAGCCTTCAAGAAGGGGCTGGTGGTGGAGCCCTTTGAAAGTGTCAACGTCTATGCCCTCCTCTGTGAGCTGCTGGGCATCACCCCCGAGCCCCACGATGGGTCCCTGGAGGTCACCAAGCCCATGTTGCGTGAGTCAGTGGGCCCTGGGAGTGCTGGTGGGCACTGGGAGTGGTGGTGGGCACTGGGAGAGGCAGCAGGCACCAGCAGCAGTGATGAGCAGTGGGAGCGGGACCGGGAACAGCAATGGGCAGCGAGAGTGGTGGCAGGCACCGGGATGGCACCGGGATCAGCCCCGGGAGCGGC